TTAAAAAAATGTATTGAACAAATTTGTAAACTTTTTAAAACCACAGCTCCTTCTACAAAATTCCTGCACCCCCTCACACACAGTTACAGGCAGACATTCACACACAGTTACAAGCAGACAGTCACACGCACACAGTCACAGGCAGACAGTCATACACATAGTTACTGCCACACACAGTTACAGGCAGCTAGTCACACGCACATGGCTGCAGACAGTTACACACACAGTCAATTACAGGCAGTCATGCACACAGTTACCTGCAGACAGTCACACACACACACAGTCACAGGCAGACAGTCGCATCACACAGTCATAGGCAGACTGTCAAAGGCAGTCACACACACACACACACACAGTTACAGGCAGACAGTAACACACAGTTACAGGCAGACAGTTGCAGGCAGACCATTACACACACACAGACACACAGTTACAGATAGACAGTCACACACACACAGTTACAGGCAGACAGTTACGCACACACACATAGTTACAGACAGACTGTTACACACACACACATATTTACAGGCAGACAGTTATACACATACACACACACACAGTTACAGGCAGACAGTTACACACACATACACACAGGTACAGGCAGACAGTTATACACACACAGTTACAGACATACAGTTACCTCCATGTGCAGCAGTAACAGTTGCAGGAAGGGCTGTGTTAAGCCCCGCCCCTGCTCTTGTATTGGCTCTGCCCCTAAATGTCTGTAGCTCCGCCCCTTCTTCCTTCCGTGTGGCCAGTTTAGCTTGCTGGTCTCTCCGTGTGAGCTGTGCGACACCCCAGCTGCCATGGGGCACAGCTCACACATCCCCATTAGCCCTCAGACCAGGGTCATGGCACCCCCCTATCTGGTGGCACCCGGGGCGGACCACCCCCTCTGCCCCCACCTTAGTCCGGCACTGCCTACATGCATATTAAATACCCATCACAGACAGCCAATAATCCCAGCACAAATTTCACACAGCCAGCACATAGCATACATATCAGACACAGACATCATGCCTCTCGCACACATTTTTCCTCTTTATAAATAAATCCTCTTTATAAACACTACACCTCTTTACATACTTTATACATAAATAAGGGGTCGCTGTGACAATTTTTTGCACAGGGCGCCTTAAGGCATAAGGCCGTCCCTGGATGCAGTGTGTGCTTGTGTAGCGGATGCAGTGTTTGTGTGTGTGTAGTGGATGAAGTGTGTGTGTGTAGTGGATGAAGTGTGTGTGTGTAATTAGTCAAAAATGGGTCGCAAGAGAATACTGAGGACAGGCAGCAGCTGAAATAGCCTGCCCTTCGGTGGGTCCCCGCTCAGTTCTCAAGCTGATTTTTGCTCATCTTGTGCCATTACAGAGAGAACATATCTGAAGCATATCAGACTGGTCCCACCCATACGGGCAGTCCAGATCCAAAATGCCAGCAAGTTCTCTCTGCACGAGAGATACAGCAACCCCAGACGATCGTTTCAGCCTTGTAAGGCATCATCAGTGAGGCATAGCTGATATCTCCCTAGGCACCGTGAGCAAGGGGTCCACGTCTGGATTATCCCTTTAAACTTGTAGAGAGTCAAAAATGGGTCGCAAGAGAATACTGAGGACGGCAGCAGCTGAAATAGCCTGCCCTTCGGTCGGTCCCTGCTCAGTTCTCAAGCTGATTTTTGCTCATCTTGTGCCATTACAGAGAGAACATATCTGAAGCATATCAGACTGGTCCCACCCATACGGGCAGTCCAGATCCAAAATGCCAGCAAGTTCTCTCTGCACGAGAGATACAGCAACCCCAGACGATCGTTTCAGCCTTGTTAGGCATCATCAGTGAGGCATAGCTGATATCTCTCTAGGCACCGTGAGCAAGGGGTCCACGTCTGGATTATCCCTTTAAACTTGTAGAGAGTCAAAAATGGGTCGCAAGAGAATACTGAGGACGGGCAGCAGCTGAAATAGCCTGCCCTTCGGTCGGTCCCCGCTCAGTTCTCAAGCTGATTTTTGCTCATCTTGTGCCATTACAGAGAGAACATATCTGAAGCATATCAGACTGGTCCCACCCATACGGGCAGTCCAGATCCGAAATGCCAGCAAGTTCTCTCTGCACGAGAGATACAGCAACCCCAGACGATCGTTTCAGCCTTGTTAGGCATCATCAGTGAGGCATAGCTGATATCTCCCTAGGCACCATGAGCAAGGGGTCCACGTCTGGATTATCCCTTTAAACTTGTAGAGAGTCAAAAATGGGTCGCAAGAGAACCAAAAATGGGTCTCCATTAGTTTAAAGGGTAATCCAGACGTGGACCCCTTGCTCACGGTGCCTAGAGAGATATCAGCTATGCCTCACTGACGATGCCTAACAAGGCTGAAACAATCGTCTGGGGTTGCTGTATCTCTTGTGCAGAGAGAACTTGCTGGCATTTCGGATCTGGACTGCCCGTATGGGTGGGACCAGTCTGATATGCTTCAGATATGTTTTTTCAGTAATGGCACAAGTTGAGCTAAAACCAGCTTGAGTTCTGAGCGGGGACCCACCGAAGGGCAGGCTATTTTAGCTGCTGTCCGTCCTCAGAATACTCTTGCGACCCATTTTTGCTCTCCATTAGTTTAAAGGGTAATCCAGACGTGGACCCCTTGCTCACGGTGCCTAGAGAGATATCAGCTATGCCTCACTGACGATGCCTAACAAGGCTGAAACGATCGTCTGGGCTTGCTGTATCTCTCGTGCAGAGAGAACTTGCTGGCATTTTGGATCTGGACTGCCCGTATGGGTGGGACCAGTCTGATATGATTCAGATATGTTCTTTCTGTAATGGCACAAGTTGAGCTAAAACCAGCTTGAGTTCTGAGCGGGGACCCACCGAAGGGCAGGCTATTTTAGCTGCTGTCCGTCCTCAGAATACTCTTGCGACCCATTTTTGCTCTCTGTGTGTGTAATTTGTTTGGGGTAGTGAGCTGTTTTGTTTTCTTCTTCCCTTCCTGCCTCTTACCTCTGGCCATTGAGGGGAGAGACTACATTCCTTAGGGGTTCAGTGGCAGCGTGATGACCTGCTTGAACTCCACTTCACTATTCAACCCTGCAATGGCTCAGGGATCATAGGTGCATAAATATATGTAGCAATGCTCGTTATATTTATATATAGTATATACACATTGGGAATGTAGCGCCATGGCCCCATACAGCTGTATCGGCATGACAGGATTAAACTGGATCGGAATGTCAATTGATAAAACTTTAATATACATTTAACAGTAGTTAAAATTAAATTCTAAGAATTCTCTTATAGGGTTAAACACTAATAGACCCTAACGGAATTGGGCAAAACCATTCGGCTGCATATGGGGCCACTGCAAAATCCACTTGAATTCTACAGAATTGGTCATACTGAACAAATACTGACTGTGTATGGCTTTAGTAAATTTTCAAATTGTCAGTTGTAATTCGGTATTTAGTGAATAACCCTGTAAGTCTGCTATATTTTCATTTGAACTACTTCGGCCTAAAATGTTACATTTATTTTCATTTTTAATTCCAGACAATATGCACCTTATATATATTAATATACATATAATTTTGCAGCACCGTATAGAAGATGAACAAGATAAACGTTTAATTCAATCAAAACATGTTTGACATATGAGAACAGTAGCAGAAGGTGGGCCTGTCCCTACAGGCTTACAACCTAAAGTAGAGTAGCTGTTTGATATAATGTACATATTTATCAATACGTGTTTCTTTGATGCCCTCTACATCGGCTGATTTCCAATGTTTGCCTGTATTAGCACTTAACAAGAGATATTGCATTGCAAAGTTAAGATCAAATAGTTCAGGAGAATGTACCGTTTATTTTCCACACTGTCTTTAAAATTATTATCTAAACTGTGTAGTTAAAAAATGCATATTTCTCTAGATCTTTGCTTATCAAAACATAGTGCTGTGATGTAAAGGTCCATTTTCTAAATTCAAGATTATTTATCTTACAATTAAAGATATACCGGACTAATAATATTGGCTCACACTATGCTTTTGACACAACACATGGAGAAAATGTGTCCCATTCACAGCTGGCTTTTAAAGAGCAATTATAATTTGCCTTGATATGTAAAGCCTTTAGGATTTCACATGTCAAAATCAATTTACTTATGAATAGTCACGATAGACATATATGACCCTCCTTAATGCTGGAGAATAGTCCAAACATATGGTCACAATCAAGTCTTTCCTGTCTCGAAAAATAGATTCTCACCTTGGGCTCATTGCAGCAATGCTTAATTATGGCACAAAGATAGGCAACCGTGAGCTCATTGTGCGTGTCTGCTGTGTGTAGTGTTTTATGTTTGTTACACCTGCTGCTTGGTATAGACTCAGATCTTTGAGCCTGAAGAGCAAGTGTTTTTTCCCCAGATATCTGATGTGTGAAGTAATTGTCAGAGCTTTAAAGAGGAGCAATGAAGGGTGGTTAGCTCTGGTTTTATAGTGAAACCTTTAGAATGTACCATAGTATGGATTCTACTCTAAAAAAAGCTACAGAATCAATTATCCTCTAGATAATTTGGAGTGGAAGAATCAAGCAGCCCCATAGTGTGCTTTATATATGGTCAGCCATTTGATGAAATTCCCTATTGTAATGAAAAATGTCCCATGTCTTTTGCAGATGACATGGTGTAATTTCAGTTTTAACACGTGAAAGGTTGCAGAACCAGGTTACTCAAGGCACAACAAACCCCCAAAAATGCTCCATAGATCAGTAGTCAGTCTCTCTAATGGATGGGTGTGATGGTCCTAGCCGTATTGGATGCAATAGGGTCTCAAGTATTCAAGTCCTCTTTATAGTTCATATTTCATCCTTGTTTGGAAGATTATAGACTATATTCTGGATGTGTCCTGTGGTCTTTCCATTTTGTCTCTTTCCAAAGATAGGGTGTGTGCCTTCAGTGACAATGCCCCATGAGGGGAAATAAGCAAAGACAAAACCCTTGGGCTACATGCCTATTGTCACATTAGCCTATGCCCTCTGGATATACATCACAGTCCAGAAAGTTGGCGGCTCGCCGGTGGGCCGCATGCACAATCAGTGAGAGGATGTCCGAGCCTGGTGAGTAATGGAGGCAGCACAGAGACAACTGTAATGGCTTCTCCAGCAAGTGTGGTATTGTCGCTTGGTGCAGGTAGTTCCCTGGTGCTCCACAGCAAGAATGGACAGAGCGTTGGTCTCCGACTCCCTTCTTCTGGCGCTTTCTCAGTTTCCTCAGTTTGCGTTGCTTAGGTGCTTTCCGTTTAGGAACCCCCTTGTGGGTACCCCCACGTTGCGTGGGAGGAGATCTTTGTTGAGTAGGCTGAGGTAAGGTAGGTGCCAACGGGACCACCATAGGAGCTTCCAGGCGACAGGTAAGTTTAGACCAGAAGTCTGCAAACAGTCTGTCCAACCTGTCCAGGATACAGGGCTGCTGGATTCGAGGTGTGGTTTCACACATGGCGTCCGCCATTTGGTAGAAGGAAAAGTGGCTACGACCAATGGAGTTCTGCTTGAAGGCTGTCACCGAGGCACAGATAATGAATACCGGGATATCCCTCACCGGTAAAGGGAGAGGGAGAGGGAGAGAGAGAGGGGAAGACTCTGTGAGATTTGTTAGGCAGATGGTAGAGGGATCGGCTTTTTCCCTACAGCCGCATGAGTAGGCCTCTGGTAGGCCGCGAGTCTGCACCTAACAAGATCTGCCGAATTCAGTCAAAAACACAACCGAGGGGTCCACCCGGTCACCGACTAGTTTTTGCTGATGTAAATCAGTAACTGTGGGTTGCCATCAATGAAGGGTAATTTGTAGAGTTTTCCCTTAGAGCTCTCGAGATGTGCGACCGAGCAGATCGGCAGTCAGGCTCCGCCCCTCAGTCTGAATTTTTTAATTTGGTGCTCAATTAATACATTTCAGAGTTTATTGACTAACGACTAACTCTTTAGCAACATACCACATATTGTAATGGTTATTTAATAAAATGAGAATTCAAAGTGAAAGTTCAAATTTGAGGTCAGAGTACCCGAACTGAAAGCAGAGAATTTTTTCAAAACTTTTTTCCCCTTAATTTTGAAATGTATTTTGAAATGTACTTTAAAGTCACCTTGAATTCTCACTTTAGTGAATAACTTTGTAAATGTGTGTATTTATTGCATTTTTCTATTTTGCACCAGATTCCAGAGAAATAATACAGTATCTGCCTTCAAGACAAAAACAGGTAGCACACTGTATACAGGGGATATTCACAAGATTGTACAAATTAATGTGAAATTAAGGGACTGTTAATATTTGTCACCCAGATTGTATAATTTTATGTCTTTGTTTTTGTATTAATGGTCTACGCATTGAACTTGGTGTCTATAAGCATAGGACCTCTTCTGATTCAGTAATGGTAAACTGGAATAGTCTTAACTTCACCCATTTAAGCAAACAGGTTACTAGTGTCTAGATTTTTAAATAGATTTATCTCTGTCTAAGTTCAAGGAGTGGAAGGACTCTTACATTTGCTGGGAAAATAACTGAGCTTGTCGATGTGTCAACTTCTTACATGTTTGTCTAGGATTGAAATAAACATTTTAGATACTATGCTGTCTTTGTTTAAAAAGGAATACGCAACTTGAATGTAGAAATATCTAACGCTATAAAAGTTTTCTTGTTGCAAGAAGATCTCCTGAAAGCCTTGTGGATTGGTTTTCAGTGAGCAGGTCCTGGTTCCTTGTGGTTTATGACCGACGTCTATAATGTTATATATGTGTTTTTGTGTTTTTTCCATTTCATAAAAGTGAAAGTTTTTCCAGTAATGCTGTTTGGGAACTGGGGCCTTAATTGTTAGCTACCCCTGGCTAAAACCACATCATATGATCTGCAAAGCTTGCCTCTGAGTTTGGTGTGTTTTTCCCAAATGAGATATTCCTGCAATATCAATTGTTCAGGCTGTAATGCACAAGCCATATGCCATTGGCTGCTTGAAGAGCCAGAACTCCGGATATATGTTTACAGTAAGCCCAAGACATCTGGAATTGGTTTACTCATGAGAGTAACAGGAGACTTCTTAATTATATTAGGTTGAGTGTCTCAAATCCATCAGTTAGAGGACATTGAAAGGTGTATTGTCACTGAGAAATTGCAATTTTCACTGTATCTTCCCAACATTAGTACAGACAGGTATATGATGTTTCGATGTGTGTGTCTGTGTATGTATATATATATATATATATATATATATATATATACCCCAATAAAAAAAATTCCTTGCACTAAGGTTCACTTATAAAAATCCAAAATTGCGCTGCAGTAAAGTACATACATTTGTAGAAAATGGGCTGCACTCACGGTCTTTTAAAAGGTTTTTCCAATTCCTTTATTGGTGTCAAACTGACAACATTCCACTATACTTTGTGGACATATAGTTATAACGTACAGGTCGACGTTTCAGTCCCTCCTTGGGACTTTCCTCAGGACCACTACTGCTGTACACTTCTAAAACAAGCATATTTATATGCTAAATAAATAAATAAACAAAAATAATGTGGATTTCACATACCCCTCCGTGCAATTCCGGTGTGTGGCGTTCTCGCTGTGCTTGTGCACATGTGTGTACGTAACTCCGCCCACCATTATGAAGAGGTACGCAGGCATCACCATAGAGACACGTCTACAACTGTGTTTAGTATTTCCTGGTTACGGCTAAACGCCTTGCATGTGTATTTACATAGTTTCATAGTACGTGTACGTACATGCAAACCATGCTAATAAAAATCCCTGATGCTATGTATAAGTGCTTATGCTTGTGCTTTTAAGTGATTATTTTAAAGTGCTTAATGTGCCTGTAGTGTTTAAAAAGTGTCTCACATGTAATAAATATATAAAATAGCTTACAATAACAAGAAATCCTTTTCGGCAATAGACTGGATATGGACATCCCTCTCTGCCCATATACATAATGTGATAAAGTGAAGGCAGATAAGCCTATAACATTTAACCCCAGGGGGAGTATGTGTAGTATGTGTTGTAGGCAACACAAACCAAAGTTTAGTTATGGGCCCCTGGGGTGGAGCATTTGGAGAGCAGTGTGGGCCAATGCTCCACTCCGCAGTTTGCATACAACTAGGAGAAATAAGTTCCCGGCCAGAACTTTGATCTGTCTCCAACCCACTGCTCAGCTGCAGATAATCAGCTGCAGCAGTGGGAATAAACCCCTCCCTGCTAGGCAGGTAAAGGGGGATTGCTGGCTTCCTCCCTGGAAGCGGGTGGGAGAGACGCTGTTCTCTCCTGTGAGAGAGTCAAGGAGACTGAGCACTGGGAGTGCAAAAGGAAAGCAGCCAAGGCTGGCTTAGAGCACTGGGAGCGCAGAAGGAAGCAGTCAAGGCTGGCTTGGAGCACTGTGTGTGCAGAAGGAAAGCAGCTAAGGCTGGCTTGGATCACTGGGAGTGCAGAAGGAAAGCAGTTAAGGCTGGCTTGGAGCACTGGGAGTGCAGAAGGAAAGCAGTTAAGGCTGGCTTGGAGCACTGGGAGTGCAGAAGGAAGCAGTCAAGGCTGGCTTGGAGCACTGTGAGTGCAGAAAGGAAAGCAGTCAAGGCTGGCTTGGAGCACTGGGAGTGCAGAAGGAAAACAGTCAAGGCTGGCTTGGAGCACTTGGAGTGCAGAAGGAAGCAGTCAAGGCTGGCTTGGAGCACTGGGAGTGCAGAAAGGAAAGCAGCAGGCTAGCTGAGAGCACTGGAGTGCAGAAAGGAGAGAGAATTGTGTTTCTTTCTAGAAGGAATGAAAGCCACATGCTAACTGAGTGTGGAGTGCAGAGATCTGACAAAGGTACTAGGTTGGTGAAACCAATTCTTGTTCTGTTATAGTTTAAACCCTTGAGAGATAGGGAACTTGATGTTAGTAAGTGCTCAGACCGAGCTAGGTTTTTGTTTATAGGGATTTGTGTTACTGTTTTTTTACATTTGCTGCTGTATCTATGGTGGAGTTTAACAATAAAGTGCCTGGAATTAAGTTGCCTTAAAAGACTGTGCATGTTTGTGGCAAAGAGGGCCGTGCTACCTGCAGACAAGGATCACAATAATAACATAAAAAACTCTTTAATTAATATATACTTAAAATCACTATTGTTTCTACTATATACACTAAAATAAACATACTATCATGAAACAAGGACAGAAGGTGCATGTAGCAAGTGTGTTTAAAAAGAGATCTCCCTCCCCGGTCCGCAGGCACTGTGCTGACAGCCGGCGGCGGAGGGAGGGATGGAGTGAGATGGAGGACCCGGAGCTCAGTCTGCGTTGCCGCGGTTACCAATTGCACGGAGAGGTAAGTGGAATCCACATTATTCTTGTTAATTAATTAATTTAGTGTATAAATATGCTTGTTTTAGAAGTGCACAGCAGTACTGGTCCTGAGGAAAGTCCCAAGGAGGGACTGAAACGTCGACCTGTACCTTATTACTATATGCCCACAAAGTGTAGTGGGATGTGGTCAGTTTGACACCAATAAAGGAATTGGAAAAACCTTTTGAAAGACCGTGAGTACAACCCATTTTCTATTTATGCATGTGTGTATGGATGTGTATATATATATATATATATATATATATATATTCCAAAAAACTCTAGGCTTTGCTGATTCGGTTTATTAGCAGTCAATCCAGAACAGTCAACGTTTCAGCTCCCGGTCGGAGCTTTCATCAGGACTTATGTATACAAACACTCCGAAACGTCAATATATATATATATATATATTAAGTCAAAGAAAGAAAGCATTAAAACATTAGTGATGACTATCCCATTAAATAAGCAAGCACCCTAGGATCCAGGCATTCAAATGTATCTGTTTCTGATGGAGAATTGCCATCCATATTACCAATCCATCAAAACAATCCGTACTCTTGAGGACCAAAGGTTCAATGTCAACAGTCGCAGAAAATCACGTCAGACTGTGTCCAGCAGCCCTCAGCATAATACATTTATAAAGCCCCCAAAAATAATATATATATTTTTTTAAATGATGGTTACTAAAACACAAGTTAATTTATCTACATTTGTAGACTGGTTTTACTTTGATGCACATTAAACTCTTACTAAAAGGACAAGAATTTCAGCTATGATAAAACCAAAGAGCAAATTCTAACTGAATTTGTATGGCTGACAGATAAATTAGGAGAAAATGATGAATAATTTTTAAGTGTATCGGAAGGCTTTTAGAACGCAGCTCCTTGGAGAGATCTCACCAAACAGAAAGACTCAGGTGTTCTTTACTAATCAAAAGTCAGTGGACATATTCAATCCACTAAGCTCAAAGCCAAATGTAAATCTCTTGTCATGTCCAGTGTTCAGTCATAAGAAAGCCCTGAATAAATTTCC